CTAGAGCTGTGAGACTGAACGACTTTCCTACAGACACAGCAATTTATTAAGGGCCAGGGGTTCAAACTCTGGTCTGACTTGCTGAGCTCTTATTACCAATTTAGGGTGCTGTCTTTTCTGATGGAAACAGTCTTTTAGAAAATTTAATCTAGGTGCACATACAGGATAGGGTTGAAGGCAGAGGGACCACTTAGGAGGTTCTTTTACAGTATTCCAAACAGGAAATGATGAGGTCTTATATACAGTGGTAGCAGTCAAGATGGGAAGACAAAGACTTGGGACAAGCTAAATGTCAGTCACTGAAAAGAATAGTCTCGACACATTCCTTTCTCAAGGAAGCTTTCCGTGATGCCTTAACTCCAGTATATTGGGGGTTCCCCAACTGAATGCTGTCATAGCATTTCTCACAATTATTAATTGGGGTGCTTTCCCCATACTTCTTCAGCTTGCTCCTTCAGGGCATGACTTTGCTTGTTTATGGCTGGATCCCTGTTGCCTAAGTATATGAAGGTCTGCAGGGTCAAAACTGTTTTTGTAATACAGTTAAGTCCCTTACATATGAACCTTCAAGTTGCAAACTTTCTCTCCAATCATGTAAGTTAGTTCACATGTCTCGTGTACATTGTCACAATGTAGGGGTTTTCTTTGAGGAGGCACTGTTACTTTTTGAGACACAGGATCCAAACAACAGTACATAGAGGTTGCAGCAGTGCTTAATGCAATCCAATGCTATTGTGTCATCTCTGATGAGAAAAAAATAGCTACTACCCAGACATCACTGGATCAGGTATTCAAGAGGGTAGATAGAATTGAATCCAGCAAAGAACCAGAATCTGTGCTATTCAGATAGAATTGAATCCAGCAAGGAAACAGAACTTGTGCCATCCAGGTCAGGTACGAGGGAAATTACAGCTTGCTTTCCATCTCCTATTGCTGATAACCTTCCGCTTTACTATCCCACTTCCTCTCCCGCCTCCAGTCAGTAACTCTTGCCTGTTCCCTCGATGCCAGCCCTTTATGCCAGCTGTTGTACTGTGTTACCGTACTTTAAAGGGTCCTGTATTATGATTAAAAACATTTATGTATTAATGTTTCTGTGAAAAGTATAAACCTGTTACAGTATAGTACGATATAGTCAACTGTGTTAGTTAGGTACCTAGGTTAACTTTGTTATACTTACGAACAAATTAGACTCACCAATGTGCTCTCAGAACAAAACTCATTTGTATATAGGGGACAAACTATACTAAAATGAAACTTAACCTTTTCAACTCATTAACCTTTTAAACTTATTCTCTCACAAGGGCATAGAGCCTACATGATATGTGATGATGTCATCCCTGATGTTAATTGAATGGTGCTCTATATTCTTCAAGTTTCTATGATTTCCTAAGGTGGTAGGTTTAAGTATGAATGTCTGCATCTATAGACGTTAACTCACTCTTTAGGTTATACCTTCAAACGTCCAGCAAACCTAGGATTATCAGTTGTTATAAAATCCTGTAGTCTTTGTGCCTAAGCCTGAACATGAATACATTCTGTTGTCTTGTTGTGAAATAAGGTTTTAAATATTTTCTCACAACTTAGAAACTGTTATATTGAATTACAATTTTAGAATACAAATTTACTCAAAGCAATTTATAATTTTCTTATTTAAGAATGAATTATTGGCTTAAAAGACTGGTTATAATAAAAATCTACTGAAGTATATTAAAAGACAAGTTACTATATGGCATTGGCTGAAGGAACATACATACATGGTAGTAGAGAAACTTTACAGATAGTTAATGCTCCTGAGTATATGTGGGATGAAAAATAAAAAATCATGGTAGTGCTACTCTAACAGTGCAGTGTAAGATTTGTGGTCAGACATGAATGAAGTGTGTTGTGTGTGAATAATCTCATCCATAGAAATACACTTAACACCTTACAGTGGATGAATCTACAAACATGGCTGAGCTTGTTATTTTGCTTTTAGTTATCAGTAACAGCATCAGACTGTCCCACGTGACGCAGAATAAACACATTTCCTTAGACAAAGTGTTGAATAACTTTAAAATCTCAGTTTATTCCGATATTTTCACTAATGTTGAAAAGCAAAAGGTGGCTAAATCTGCCAGCATTTGGCATAATACAGTGGCACCAAACTAGCATTCTTTTTTTTTTAGCAGTCATTCTTTACTGATACCCATTTGCAGTGTAGTGGTCATAGTTTCATTTAATGATGTCCTTGTGAAAATAGTAAAATTATTTAAATCTGGGCCAAAAACGTAAGTGATGAAATGGAAAGTTTATATATGGTGCTTCTGCTGCATGCTAAAGTACCCTGGTTGCAGGCTGAATTAGCTCCTGTTTTCTTAGAACACCAATTTTTGACTGTCAAATTTCTGTTGTCAGAGTTGGCTGTTTTGCAGACATTTTTCTGAGTATGATGGAGGTGAGCTTTTCAGGGAAAACAACTGACAGCATTTGTCAGTGATAAAATTTCAAATTTGGAAGTGAAAAGTAGAACTTTTGGAAAACTTAAGGAGCTTGACATCTTTTCAGTACTTAGTGTTTTTTTAATGTTAATGATTTTAGCTACTATGTAATAAGCTGGGCCAACACTTGGAATATTTCTGTAACTAAGGTGAGCCAGTAATTTCCACATAGGCAATACATAAAATAACAAAATTGCAGATAAGTAACATTTCAACCAACTGAATGCAGAAAATAAAAATCCAGCTTCTAGTACTGCCTTCTTATATTAAGGCAGAGATTTAAGAGAACTGAATTGCAAAAATACACAACCATGCCAGTCTTTGTGGAAAAGAGTTTCTTCCATGAATATGTTAATGTTACATATTTGTTACCGAAATCTTTTTTCTTGTTTTAATCTAATATGGTAAGATACTGGTAAACAAAGCTACTTGGGGCCCTGAATTTTTAAGAATGTAAAGGGTTCCTGAGAAGAAACCTGCTATAGCATAGTATATATATAAACATTCAGACCTGTCAAATATGTCAATGTAGTTTACAGTGGCTCCCAGAGTTAAATGTAGATTACTAGGAGGATGGGCATGTTAGGACAGGGAGCAGGTTTTAGTGGGGAAAGAGGTTCATGTTGAGTTTTTAGTAGAACATACAGAAAAAGGGCAAGTAACAGTAGACAGTTGGAAATTCAAAATTTGGGCTTGAGAAAAACAAAAACACCATTCTCCTTTCCAGTAAAAATTCCTTTCATCATGAAATATATAATTAAACAGTTGTTACTTCATAACTGATTGGTATATGTGTTAGCCTTAAAGGTATGAGGGTTGATACAGCAAGCTTCTTAACAGTTTTTTTCCACATTGTGCACATTTAAAATTTGGTACAGGAGAGTTTCTCTTGAACTTAAAAATGTAACCAAGGTACAATAATTTGATTTTTTGTCCTAGAATTTTCAAACTTTATATTCTTGCATAACACCTCACCTGAACTTGGAAAAGGCTTTTCTCTGCCTGACTCACTAATAATATGCACTTGTGGGCATTAATATACTTTAGGTATTTTACAGACCTTTTAAAATACTTCCCTTTTTTTCAGTCTGCAGTCCTTGTAGTGCAGACTTGAACCATGTCTGACATTGGTATGTTAAGAATCTAAAATTTTCTAAAACTCTTACTACAATTTGAAAAGAAATGTTTAAACAAATGTTTCCCTCTCTAGCCACTAGTATATGGTCAGTCTCAGAGATAACCATCTTCCTTTCCTTTCATTAAACTTAAAAAATTTGTCTCAATGTCTGTTTTTTCTCTCCCCCCTCTAAAATATATTGAATGTCTGGTCCATTATCTCAAGTCAGTTTTTGTTCAGATTATTAAGATTACCTTCCCCATCTTTTTACATTACCTTGGTGCAGGAGGCCCACTTCAAAAGTTAAAAACCAAGATCTACACAACTAGTAGGTGACAGTGTCATATATAACTCATTATCAGCTTTTCTGAATCCCTCACGTAGCACATTTCCTGTTCCTGTCACCAGATTACAAAACAATACTAGGGAGGAAGATGACAAACTATTACCGTGTTCACTACATACTTATATCATCTTAAACCAATCTGTTCATGTTTTTATAATGGTATTTAATAGAACTAAAGCTATGATAGATCCAGCACAAATTTGATATACTCAAAAACAGCCAATATGCAAAAATGTCCGTATGTTCAACAAATATTAAATGTACATGCTGGTAGGTAAGTGCGTCAGGCACTTGGTAAGCAGCAAAGAAAACAGGCGTGTTTTTAATTAGTCCTGTGGACCAACAGTTTTAAGAGGTTTGAACAGTTATTTTGTCAGAGGTGAAAGATTTTTTTGTTGAACCTATAATAGTGCAGCTGTGCATTCTGATGATGGTAGAAACTCCAGTCTAGGATATAAGACCCTTATAAATGTCTCATTTCCAATTCAAACTCAAATGGGAGGTATATCAGAGAGAAACCATATAAGGACTGTGGATTATGCTGCTAATCTGAACTTTTCTTTCAAAGGAAATAAATACTGTCCTTTTATTCTAGATGAGACATCAGAAGTTAATTATGAATAGCACTGTTTATGTAACTAACATGGTACTGAAAAATCTAAGCTGAATGTAGTCAGAAACTCCAAAATAAACTGAATACAGAGTCCCACATAAAACTCCACATCTAATCTGTACCAGGGAAGCACTGGTTTCACAAGACTTAATTTTTAGGTTATTTCATTTTCTACTGTTTTGGGAAGGACTTTTTGCAACTAGAAAAGCAAATACAGTAGCTCAGCTGGTAAAGAGTCCACCTGCAATGCAGGAGAGACTGGTTCAATTCCTGGGTCGTGAAGATCCCCTGGAGGAGGGTGTGGCAACCCACTCTAGTATTCTTATTCTTGCCTGGAGAATCCCCATGGGCTAGGAGCCTGGAAGGGCTACAGTCGATGGGGTCACAGAGTCGGACATGACTGAGTGACTAAGCACGGCGCACAGTGACTGAGGAAAACAGAAGGACTGGCGTGAAGTCTTTAATTCATCAGTTCTCTAGTCCTTCAGAGAAGCCAACAAAAACACTTTGACAGACTTATGTCTGATTTTGAAAAGCTTCACCTTTATGTATTGAAAGAAAAAAATAAAATTTCTTTAAATATGGCTTGTTGGTCCCTTCTTTCATCTACCATTGTATTTGCTGCTATTTACAAATAGGACTATCTAATATCTTCAGATTAAATGTGTTAATCTTATTCACTGATGTTATAACTTTTAAGGCAGATAGTAAACTATAAGTCTTATATAAGACTTATATAAGATCTAGCTTGTCATGGAACAAACACTATTTTACAAAGCATAATGCTTCATTTTTAGAAACCTAGGTAAAAAACTTGAGCAACTAAACAGCAAAGCTGCACAGACAATGAAATGTAACCTCATGCTCTGTTTAGGCTCTCTGCCCTTCCATGAGGCCAGAGTAGCCTTCCACCTACAGTGGAAAACAGGAACTGTTACAAAGCCTGAAAATGTTCTAAACCCAAATCCTGGGGCATTTTAGTAGGCTTAGCATCTTTAAAGCCTTTTAAGAAAAGTACTAATTGCTCAACTACCCCTTTCAAACAGCACCAAAGAAAAGCTCTTCTTTCTTATAAGACATTCCATGTATACCTTTTCCTAACTATGGTGAAGAGATTTATACCAAATCTTTGATTAATACTATTTTTTCTCTCAAAGCAAGTTCTTTGTCCTGATATTTTCAGTGTCAGGAAGCACAGATATTATTAATCATTTTTGATCTTTGTATTACCAAGGACATCTTTCTCCATCTTGTTCTGAAGGATGAACAAAACTTTGAGGTGTACGTTTCAGGAGATAAACTGCAGCATGAAGACCCCCTATGTTGACCCAAACGGTATGCACCTTCCGCCATAGGTGTCCCATTCCAGATAATGCCTGTGTATACACAAAAAGAAAGTAATTAGCGGATAACTGCTTCTCTACCAGCCAGAGGTCTTAGTAAGAAACACTGGGAGAAGAGAAAATATATCCTCAAATACCCCCAAGTCTAGTTAAAAAGGTCCTAAATTTGTCACAGGCTGAGGTTTTGTGATAACATACAGCACCTTGGCAAAGCATTTCTTGTCCTGAGTCAGTAGTACAGCTCGGCCTGTCCCTGGCCTACAGACACGGCTCATCTCCCGCAGGCAAGCTGGATAAAGGTTCCAGTTTCTCTTCTTGGAGCCCATCCTATAAGAGGAGGTCGAATAAGTCACTTGCTTTTGCAAAAGGTAAGTGGCTAGGACTGTATGAAATGAGAAGTTATTAAAAATTCATTGCAATAAGAAAATCCTGAAGTATGAAAAAAATTGCCTTTTAAAACCACACCTTTGCCATTATGTGTCAATGAAATAAATGATCAGACTAGTAAATTGCTTAGAATCTTGAATGGGGTGAACTGGTTAAGGGAAAAAGAAACAACTATAATAGTTATACAGGTTGTCTTAGTATAAGCAGTTATAAACCAAACTGCATGTATGCTCAGTGGTGTCTGAGTCTACAACATGATGGACTACTGGAGCGGGTTGCCATTTCCTTTTCCAGGGGATCTTCCCAACCCAGGGAAGATTACCCAACACCTGCATCTCCCTCATTGGCAGGCAGGTTCTTTACTAGCTGAAACGGGTAGCCACATAAACTACTGATTAAAAAACATCCTGAGATTTTCTCAACCTTTCTCTGAAGTATTAATGTAATTCAGTAATGGGCTACAAAGTGGATGAACCTGTGATGGTCAGGATCAAAGTGTAGTTAATACACTTCTGACTTCTCAGAAGAAACGGGTGAACATATTGTTAAAGGAAGTAAAAACCTATTCTGAGTCTCCTAAAAGAAAATGAAGATTTCTGACAGAATAAGCTCAAAGAAAATACAACAGATTTAGAAGACATGTGAGTAATAACAAATGAAAATAAAACTCATTTTTTACGTCTCACCTTTTTCCAAATGGCATGTCTGTTACAATTATGTCTACAGAGCCAGTTCTTAGTGGCAGGTTGCAGATATCCCACTGAATAGTATCTATGGGCAAGCCCAAGGACAGTTTGCTGTGGGGACAAAAGAAAAGGTGCTTCAACATATCCTGAAGAACGAAATTAAAAAAAGACTTTGTCAAGAGACTGTTATAGTATCCAAGAATTAAAACGATATCAGTGACAACATCTGCAACTTAGTAAAAATTTTTAAGGTAGTATGTATGTGGCAAGCACAGATCATAAGCTAAAACATTTATAATGACAATATGTAAGAACAAATAAACTAAGAAATTAGTTGACTGATTTTCAGCTTTAATTGCATAAGAAAATATTAGTATTTAATATGATTTTTATAAATTCATATTAAATATAAATTCATATTTATAAACTTATAAGAACAGATTTTGAAATGAGAAAATGATTATAAAGTCTGAGTTATGAATGAATCAAATCTTGGGATACACGTGGTCCTGTAAGACTATAATCATCAAAAGTGGTCCTGAAGCATACTAATAAGAAGACACTGAAGATTATATGGGTGGGATAGACAAATATTTGGTATTAGGTGACTTTTCCCCCTGGATTTCTCTAATTCCTGTAACATTTAGCTCAAGATTGAGTTCCTTGTTTGTATTCAATTAAGTTTCAGACAAAAGGGCACCACTGCCATCTCCTTCCTCTTCCCTGAGACCTAGGAGGACAGCTAAGGCCCTTTCTCTCACCCCTGCATGGGGTGCCTTCTCCATACTACATAACCTACTTAATAAAACATTTCCAGAGAAAAGATCGCTTGTGCCTCTGTTAAGTCCCCAGCTGGATGCCTGCATGCATAATGGAAAACTTAGAAAATTAAAATGAATCTATGTAATTCTTTTATGGGGAAAAGAAGATATAGAAATAAGAAGGAAGCTAGAAATTTAAATAGTTGCATTAGGGTAAGGGAAATTATAGTTAAAATATTTTAAAAATATAGATTAGTTTCAATCAACTTAAAATTTAAATGGAATCTCACAGTATATTTGGTTATAATGTCACAATGCAGTGGTTATATTAATTCATAAGCCAATATGAAACTTGATTATCTAAGTTTAAGTGATGCTACAAAATCTTGAATTTTTACCCTTCTTTAACTTGGATCTTGGTCAATAAAGATGAGATGTTATTTGCAGCTCTATTCACAGCCAATGGATTATTATCACCAGCAATATGGTAACAGTTAGACCATTCTGTAGCCCCCTAAAATACAAGAGTATATATTAAAACAACTAGCAAACTGCAAAAAAAAAAAGAAAATAACCCCAAAATGATTAAAAGTAAAATCAGTTCAACCATTTGTCAATATTCAAGACAATGCCAGTCAATAGTCCAATGCTTCTCTAAAGTGGCGAAACACTGCGTGCTGTCAACATTCTACTTCCCTTGCTTGAAACACCCTCCCTGCTGTTCTGTTTGCTCAACTCTTACTCATCTTTGAAGTCCCAGCTCCAACATCATGCCCTCTGACTCAACCCCAGCTCTCCAAGCTGCCTCTCATTTGCCTCTCCAAAAGCACTTTGTACATCTATCTGCCACTGCACTTGCTCCCTTTTTCACACCTCTGTACCGATCCGCTGCTCAGCAAGTCTGGGAACTCCTTAGGGGCAGGTCTGGTATCCTCCACCCAGCACTCCCACCACACGGGAGGCCTTGCAGACTGTAAATGTACTTTGAAAAAGCTAACCAAATCAAACTGACCAACCTATACCCTTCTGTGATTATGGGATTTTTATATAATCTGAGAAACGAATACTTAAGAATTTAAATGAACTGTAATCTTCATTATATGGGCTTTTGAATGATAACCACTATATTCTTGAAAGGATTTTGTAAGTTTAATTAAAAATATGTCAACGGAACATAAACCCTGAGCTTTTCGTATTATTTGTGCAGTGAGGTGAGACACTGCCCTACGCACGAACAATGTTCTGTGCAGATTAACAGGTTTCTGACATGAAAGCACAAACAGTTCTGCCCTCGGTTTAGGGACGAACAACAGCACCTCTTCCTTGGTAAAGAGTAATACCCCCTCATCCATGGACACAGTGCTTCACAGCTATTTCTTTTCCCCAGACCCTTGAGGGTAATGGAGAAGGGTGATGTTGGGAGGTTGATGAAGAGTTTGATGAAAGCCTCAGGTGATTTCTGATTGCCCAATATTCATTTTTTCTTCTATTTATATAGATTTTCAGCTCCTGAAAGACAAGGGGTTTGTAGTACTTCCAAGTTTTGAGGGAGTATTCTAAATTAAGTATTTTAGACTTTGGTGAACAAACTGTCTATATAACCTGTCAATTCCTTTCATAATTTCATTCATTTTGATCTCATATCAGCCTAGGTTTTTCTACATTGACATTCTCATGTCTACCCCTACATGGAAAGGCCTCAAACATTTTCTTTTTATCAGCGGTGCCGGGGGCTCTTCTGGACTGTCTCTTTCTAGCCCTGTTGTGTATTTCTTGACATGTATTGACCTTCACTGCTATTCCAGGCAACAGACACATCATGGTTTAAAGCTGAAGAACACTGCTTTGTTTCCAGAATTCTTTGCGACAACAACTGGTTTTCCTCTGTGTGGCTCCTGAGCCAGAGTAAATTTCTCTAGTTGATACTAGCAGAAAACAGCAATCATCTGGACTACTGTGAATTCCTTCCTAATTCCCAGATGGCAGATGTCCTTTCCTAACTGCACTCTGGATTATTTTTCCCTTTGTAGGTTGCTCTGGACTTGTTTATGTGTCCAGTTTCTGCTCACTCAGAATCTGTGGTATCTCCCTAAAGTTTCTTCCCACTGGCTTTACATATACTATATTTAAGAACTTGCTATGTTTCACAAGTTTAAGCAATTTTACTGGGCGTGCCCTCTTCTCAATTATTATTTAGATAATATTGAATCAGTAACAATGATTCAAGCAAACTCTCCTGTTAAATGTTCTCCACTTAGAAAATGTCTTTCCATTTCTTGCTTTGCTTTAGGTAGTTTTTGAGTCCTCTCAATGTGATGCTATTTTTTTTTTTTTTTAAACTTTGTAACCTTACTAAACATCCTAAAAAACCTAAATAATGTTCCTAGGTTTCCCCATCATACCACTATACTTACTCCCTCAAGAACCTAACTGGATTAAGAAACATAATCTCACTTTATAGAGATTAAATGCCCTCTTCCAGTTTATGCTTGTGCTTTCAATTATCTTTTCTGTTCAAGTCTACCTGTTTGTCTAAAGAAATGGGACTCATCAGTTTGTAATTCTCAGCCTCCTCTGTAATCCAGTGAATAAACATGATTTCTAATCTAAAGCCTGCTGCTGCTGCTGCTGCTAAGTTGCTTCAGTCGTGTCCGACTGTGCGACCCCATAGACGGGAACCCACCAGGCTCCCGTGTCCCTGGGATTCTCCAGACCAGAACACTGGAGTGGGTTGCCATTTCCTTCTCCAAAGCTAAAGCCTAGTCCTTGGCTATTTGTATTAAGTGGCTACATCCTTATCACAAAAGTTCCAGCTTTACTAGTATAATTCACTCAAATCTTGGGTCCATGGACTTAACCTTGGTCATTACCCATCAGTTCTAGAACATTGTGGATGCATCACTTTCTTATCTAAAAGCTAAAGAAGAGTTATTACCTCAATTGGTATTGCCCCTGTTCCACACATCGGATCAACTATTATATCAGTGGGCTGAGGTGCACAGAGCCTAGAGAAGAAAACAGCCTATGTGAACAGACGTCAACAGCCAAGACACCCACAATGACTATTCCTGATGCTGTCAGATCACAGATCTGTTATGCCAGCCTGAAGAAACAACAATCAGAATTTATTTTAAAGATAAATTTGTAACTATATGTTGAGTCTATATCCTTGTACTTAAAAAAATTACACCTAACTAAAAGTCCTCTATCAACCAAAATCTCTTTCACTTTGAATGGAATTTGGCTTGTATATCTTTTCATGTGTGTGCGCGCGCGCATGCGCGCTCATATACTTTTAGAAGAGAGGTGTTATTTTGTATATAAACTTGTGTTGTTACATTGAAAACTCAAACGTATCAAGTACAACATGTATGAATACAAGTTTACTGGCAATTACTCATTCAGTATTCCTTCCCTGATTACTTTTAAAGACAATAAAGGTTGCTATTAAAATAACTACTTTAGCTTTCAGCTCTTAGTATTTGCCAGGCATGGATTTAAGTTCTTTGCATGCATTATCTCTTTTAATCCTTTTAACAGCCTTGTGAGATAGGTTACTATTATTATTCTCAGTTACAGATAAGCTGACCCATCCATCTGTGGACGCAAAGCTAATAGGTGACAGAGTCAGAATTAGAGGCATTACAGTCAGTGGCTTAAATGTTACCGCCTCTATGTAATATCTCCTCCTCAGACAGGTGACAAGGTTCTTCTTTCCTTCTTTTGTCCTGCTATTCTTTCCACATTCTATTATGGTTCTTCCTCACAAAACTGATATTCCTGGGGACTAACACTGGACTCCTTTTTTAAATTAATTTGTATTGGAGTATAGTTGCTTTATAGTTGGTAAAGAATCTGCCTGCAATGTAGGACACTTGGGTTTGATCCCTGGGTTGGGAAGATTCCCTGGAGAAGGGAAAGGCTACCCACTCCAGTATTCTTGCCTGGAGAATCCCATGGACAGAGGAGCCTGGCAGATTACAGTCCATGGGGTCGCAAGAGTTGGACACAACTTAGTGACTAAATCACCATAGTTGCTTTAATACTGGATTCTTATTGTAACACCTGTCGAGCTTTCAAGAGTCTTCTCCAACACCACAGTTCTGGACTGCAAGGAGATTCAACCAGACAATCCTAAAGGAAATCAGTTCTGAATATTCACTGGAAGGACGGATGCTTTAGCTGAAACTCCAATACTTTGGCCACCTGATGCAAAGAACCGACTCATTTGAAAAGACCCTGATGCTGGGAAAGATTGAAGGCAGGAGGAGAAGAGGACAACAGAGGATGAGATGGTTGGATGGCATCACTGACTCAATGGTCAGGAGTTTGAGTAGGCTCTGGGAGTTGGTGATGGACAGGGAAGCCTGATGTGCTGCAGTCCATGGGGTTGCAGAATCTGACACCACTGAGTGACTGAACTGAACTGAACTGAACTGTCCAGCTCTACTTCCCCGTTCCTGCCCCTCAAAACACAGAGCAACAGAATCCTTGGCAACCCTCTTGGGCGTAAGCAACTCTGTACTCCCAGCCACTGTTGCTGGGTCTGAGCAAACACATGACTGAAACTATGTCAATCAGATTCTCCTTCTAATAGTTGGGAACAAACAGCTAGAAACTGATTATTTAAAATCGGAAACATATAAATTTAGATGAGGGGGAGCCATTTATAGAGAGAAGTAGAGGCAAGAGCCCATGGGCTCCCAGGGGAGATAAAAGTGACTATCTAGGTTTCTGGTGGTTTTCTCTAAGACCAGGATCCTACTTTTCTTAAGACATGGCTATCAGTTTTTCTGTGGATTCCCCAAGACATCTCGGTATTTTGCCATTAATTCCCACTCCCACACAATCATCACTTTTTTAAATCTTAAACTAGCTTATTTAGGTTTCTAACAGTTGTACCCGTAATAACTCTCTATATTCCTGGCTCCTACCATAATACCTTCAGGAGATAATAAATGTTTGTTAAGTAAATGATGACTAGGAGCTCTTCCTTAATCAAATGGGCCCAGTTTTCCTACTGTTGTCACTGAATTGACAGGCTCCAGTTGTGTTGAACTAGGATTCCAAGGATGAGCAGGGGAAAAGAGGAAGCAAAGACTGGAAGACAAGGAAATAGAATTAACTACCAGGCATGCCAGGTACTGTATGTAACAGGTATTTTGCATCTGTTTCTGCATTTATTCCTCACTCATAATCCTTTAAGTCTCACATCAAACCTATTTTGCAGTCTGGCGAACAGAAACCTAGAGAAGACATCTTGTCCTAGTGGTGGAAAGAAACACCCAGTCAAAGGGAAACAGGCAAAGAAGAAAGCAAGCTGTTTTGTTCTTTGAAAAGTAGAAAATTTCAGGATGATTCCTGGGTTTCTGTGAGTATAAAATTTTAACATATAAGTAAAAGCTCTCTGTGTTCATTTATACATTGTACACATTTATGAAATCTCTGCTATCCATCTGCTTCATTGCACAGAAATGAAACAGAACAAAATTTGTTCTATTTCCCAACATGGCATATATCCTTTCTAAGCAGAGATGTGACAACTACATGCAAAAGGCAGATGAAAACTATCATTCTCATTTTAAATCAAGAAAATTGAGATATTAATTAAGTGATCTTCTCAGAATCTCAAGGAATCAACACTGGATACAAAGAAAAAGATCTTTAACATTTTATCTTGTTCTTTATCCACAAGATTCTAACACAGTACCTCACAAAAAATTTTGAAGGGAAAATTCAAAGCAAAGTGTCACCTGAACCTACAAGGCTAATGCATTCTCTTACCTGAGCATCCCATAGGCAAGAGTAGATCTAAGAGTTGTGGGTCCAAAATGTGTGATATTTCTTCGGTGGAGACTCTCTTCTGTCAATGCAATGCCCACAACAATTTCATTATCATGGATATTCAAAAGAACCTACAAATAAAATAAGACAGAATAAAATAGCTTTAAGAGAGTTCAAATAAGATTTTAAAATTTGAGGCTTCATTAATTTCTGTTACTTTATTACTGAGGTATACCTTGCATACAGTAAAATGCACAAATCCTAAGTATGCAGTGCAGTGAGTTTCGGCATACACATGCTGTGTAACCACCACCCAGAAAAAGACAGTTTTTCCTGCCCTCTCAGTCGGTACCAAGCCCAAACTGTCATTAATCTGACCACTATCATGATAAATTATTTTGTCTTTTTTTGAGCTTCATATAAAGGAAATCATTTAAGTACATGCTATTTTAGAATTATTTTATTCTCCTTTTGATTCACTGTTTTCCCAAGTTAGGTATAACCAGATTTCCTTCGATTTTTATAAGAGAAACATATTTTGAAGGTTTCCAGGCTTCTAAAATGCATTTAAAACATTTTTAACGTTGGGAGAAAAAATTCCAAACATATAGAAATGCTTACAAGAATACTGGCACAATGAACTCGTAAGTATAACCTTCATTTAGATTAACCAAGTGTTAATGCCAGGCCACATATGCTTTAACACCTATTATTTTCTTAGTACTTTTAAAAAACTTGACTTACAAGTAATGCCTGTGAAAGAATTTTTTTGGTCCTCGTTATAGTTTTTCTAACACACAGTTAAATATAAACTATTCAAATAAAACAAGAATGTGTTCTCCCATCTTCCACCTCAAATTTCCTCATCATGATCTCAACAGCAGCAGTTAACACTTACCTTGCTCTATGCAAACCACTGTTCTACACACTTTGTATTTGTTACCTCATTTCATATCCACCCCCTCTGAGCTAGATATTATCCTCCTCCTCTTATAGATAAGGAAATTAAGACACAAAGAGGTCACTTTTACTTGCCGCAAGTCATACAGCTCATAAACTGGGATTTAAACCCAGGTAGTGTGGTCCATGGGGTCCTAGGAGTTGGACACGACTGAGCAACTTCACTTTCACTTTTCACTTTCTTGCATTGGAGAAGGAAATGGCAACCCACTCCAGTGTTTTTGCCTGGAGAATCCCAGGGAGGGGGGTGCCTGGTGGGCTTTTGTCTATGGGGTCGCACAGAGTCGGACACGACTGAAGCGACTTGGCGGCAGCAGCAGTGGGACTTTCTTGGTGGCCCAGAGGCTAAGACTCTGAGCTCCCACGGCAGGGAGCCCAGGCTCCATTACTGGTCAGGGAACTAGATCGGGCATGCTGCAACTAAGAGTTCACATGTCACAACCAAAGGTCCCACATGCTGCAACTAAGACCCAGGACAGCCAAATAATATAAATAAATAAACCGAGGCAGTACAGCTCCTGAATCTGTCCTCTGAGCCCTTCTGCTAACTTCTGGACATCACTGTTCTAGTTAGTCTGTTCATCATCATAACAGCTGTTACAAAGAAAAAGGAGTAGGAATTGTTCTTCCAACTTGATATGCAAAAATAAAAGAGAGAATAACGACTTGCCCAGATTCAAGTGTCCCTAAAGCAACAGTAAACGACCCCTTGGTAAAAACATCAGCTGCTAGAGGCCTTTAAACTGTTGGAGATGGAAAGATTAGTCAGTATGGCCCACGTGTGAATCACCCATATAGCAGAAGATTGAGACCAAGGAGGGTGAGCATGTTAAAACGGAGGATCTGAGCTTGGGAATATAGCACAATTTAAGAAAGAGGAGAGCCGGCTCCAGGAGGAGTATTAGCAATGATGTCCTCATTTTAGAAGGTCAAGGTTTGTTTTAAAAATATACTCCACTTCAGTAGCAAAGTCTGCAACCAAGACACACAACAAAACAGTTGCTTTAATTCTTTTGAATTTCATAATCTGAACATCCACACCATGTTAGAAAAAGCACTAGGTTAGAAATAAGAAAACTCAAGTCTCGATAGCTCTCCCACATATTGAGCATGTACTACAGACCAGGTATCATTCCAGATACTTCAAAAGTATAATCTCATTTAACCTTTAGGACACATAGGTATAAAGTGTTTTTGGCTCCAATTTGAAATAGAGGCTCAGACAGAATATCTTGTCCAAAGCTACACAGTTACGGAGTAGAAATCTGGGTTTAGCTCTGTCTCCATTGCCCATACTTTTATTATGATACCCCATTAACTTTGTCACCTCAGTTTAATTGTCCATAAGACTAAGTTAGTCTTGAAAGTTCTACACATATGTTATGACAACCTTCTTGAATCATCACAGTAAGAACATGCACTTACCTCCACATCAAAGTTGGTCATATCAGCCTTCCACTTAAAATAATCTTGAACAGCACCCCCAAAATCTCTTGCTGCCTCATTTGAGGAAAAGCAGTGTTTCTCTCCTGCCCTGTTGCATGTGACTCTAAACTTCAGCACTTCAGGATCAACTTCTTCTTTTGAGTTTTCCTCAGTCTCATCTTTGCAAGATGTCAAATCATCACCTATTAATGTTGATACCTCTTCTTTGACGGCTGGATTTTCATAACAGTCTAAGATCTGTGAATCTGAGACACTGTTAGTGAATTCTTTAACATCCTTCTCAACTGTTGTGTCTCCTCGTCCATTATCAATCTTCTGTTTACTTAAATTCGGATTTATCTTTCTGCGCTTTGTTTTTTTTTTCTTGAAACTTGTGTTAATTTTCCATATTTTTAAGGGGTCTGACCATGGAAGCTTCCCAGCCAGGTCCTCAAAATCCTTTAGAACTTCTTCCTATAAAAGACAGAGAATGAAATCCATTAATTTCATTCATTTCTCACCACTTTAATTGAACAAATAAACTCCTACTTTGCCTATGGACTACATTAATCGCTATGTTGGGGGTGGTAGGAGAACAGGACAAAAGAATAAATAATATAATGCCTGTAACTGAGGAAATTAGAGTCTTAATTGAGAGTATTAAGATTTATACAAATTAAGGCCACTACAGAATAATACAAGACAGAATGGTAGATCAGAAGCTGGGCTTCCAGATTAAAATGTAAACAAATAAGGAACTATTAACAGTGGTTACCTCCAGGGAGGGGAAGTGGGTGGATGAAACACAGGGGAGGTCAGCAGACCTTTCAATGACTGACTTCCTATTTAATTGTGTGCTGTGTATACATACTATTTTTGAAAAGAAAAAAACCCAAACTTTAAAAATTAAAAAGGAATCTATCCATATATATGAGTTAGTATACTGTATTGGTCACAGAGACACAGATGTACAGAACAGACTTTTGGACTCTGTGGGAGAAGGTGAGGGTGGGATGTTCTGAGAGAACAGCATTGAAACAAGTATACTATCAAGGGTGAAACATATCACCAGCCCAGGTTGGATGCATGAGACAAGTGCTTGGGGCTGGTACACTGGGAAGACCCAGAGGGATGGGATGGGGAGGGAGGCGGGAGGGGGGGATTGGGATGGGGAACACATGTAAATCCATGGCTGATTCATGTCAATGTACGGCAAAAACCACTACAATACTGTAAAGTAATTAGCCTCCAACTAATAAAAATAAGTGGAAAAAAAAAAAGGTATCTATCCAGTATCTAAATAGTATCTACAGTTATTTGTTAAAAAAGTAAATCTGATCATGTGTAAAGTACCTTAACAGCTTATTACATCCAAAATTTAAATTCCTTAAAAAGCCCAAATGACCCAACTCCTGTCTATGTTTCTTTTCTTACACCATGTAAGGATCATCTCCCAAGCTTCCCACCTCTGCTTCAGATGAGAAGGTATGTGCTTCACATGGCCTCTCTGCTCTGCTGGTACCCTTTTCATTATTCAACAGCAATTTCAAAGCACATCCTCTGAGAGACCTACTCTGCTCTCAAGTCACTCTTCGTCTCATTTTATTTTTTTTACATAACTAAGCATCATCTAAAGTTATTAGGTTCATTACCAAGGCTCCTCTCAGAAGGTAAATGCAGGGACTTCCCTGGTGGTCCAGTGGTTAAGACTTTGAGCTTCCAATATAGGAGATGCAGGTTCAATCCTTGGTTAGGAAACTAAGATCCCATATGCCACACGGCATGGCCAAAAAGAAAAGAAAAAAAACCCAAACCAAAACAACAAGAAAAGGAACAACAGAAATGCCAACTCTATAGTAACAGAATCTACATGGTATCTGTTAAACCTAGAATCAGAACATAAGAATTCTAACATAAGAATTCCTGAGTGCAGGGAAGGTCAAGCAGAGGTGTAGGAAGACACCTGAGGAAGAATACCTACACATCTCAGGCAAAGGGGGGAGAAGTCTGCAAAGGAGGAACAAATTAATTCTTCTCTGGAAGAGCAGGGAAGAAGAGCGTGCACCAAGAGGGAGCTTCCCTGGATCTTGTTTCCAAAAGCAGCAAAGGAGGGAAATGGAGGCTGAATAAGGAATCTCAGCAATAGGCTCTATTTGCTGGAGAGAAAGGATAGAGATGTGCAGAAATACTCCAGTAAATAACCTTAAAGTTCCTGAACTCTTCCAGCTAGGGAGCAGGAATGGTTAAAAGAACTCAGTAAATGGTATGGAAATTATACTTCAATAAAGCTATTTAAAAAAAGAAGGAAGAGAACTCATTTACCCACAACCTTTTGCCAGAAGGAACTTCACAGCGAACCAGGGGGATTTCTTGCTGGCCTGGAACAGTTCCTGAATCTTCCATCAAGAAGGAACTCCCTCATTCAAGGACCAGCAATTATCAAAACTTATTAGCACCAGACTTACATAAATGGAAAAAAGGAGGAAAGGGACAGAAAAGCAAACAGCAGAAAACAACCAGTGACCAGAAAGATACTGACACAAAGTAACTGGAATCCATGATGAGATATGTTGACATGAAATCAAAAAAATGTAATAAGGAAATACTTCTGCAACATAAGAGCTCAAAGAAGAGATATAAAAGCAGGAAAAAGATGAGGGGAGCTGGCAGAAGAAGATGAAACAGGAGCTTGTCGAGTTCAAAGAAAAAGTGGAATGAGAAAACAAAACCACTGCAAAAATGAAGACCATATTGAGAGCACCTCTTATAAAAGCCACTGCTGAAAATACAGTAAGGGATGTGAAGGAAAGCAAAGCAAATACAGTAAAAATGAGCAAAGATTTTTAAAAGGATTAGAGAACAGTGGAAAACATCAAAGACAGTCAAAAGAGATCCTACACATGTATAACTGGTTTATCCCTGATGAAGGGGTTTAAAATAAAACATATTAAAAAAGTAATTTAAGAAAACTTAAATATAAATGGATATGAATTGCTCTATAGGTTGACATGTCCTAACTAGGAATTATCAACAAGGAGACATATTCTGGTGACTTCTAAAGGTTGAAGAAAGAAAAAAATCATCTGGGCATCAAGCGGAAATAATAAGAATCTGGCAACAAATGGGGGTGGGGGGTGGAATAACAGGGTGGCTTCAGATTGTTCCATGACAACATTTCATGTTAGAAGAGAATGAACACTATGATACTCTTAAGGAAGGAGAGCATGACTCCCAATTTTAAACCCAAATGATTAATCAAGTATAGAGGTGAAACACAAACATTTCTGAGCTCAGTGCCGTCCAAGAGATAAACCTGTAACAAAAAGACAAGTAGCAAGTAGCGTGCCTATAATCAATTTAACAAAAAAGACTAAAATGAAAACAAACATAGGGATTATGACAACAAAACAGAATGTAACTGTTACAAAGGGATGTATCCTTGGAGGGAAAGGTAACAGAACATGGGAGGTAATTTAAGCACACTTGTATCTTCTTCTCTTATAACCTGAAGTCAAGGGATAGAAATTAAAGCTAATGTTTTTTAAACTATACTTAAAGGATTCAAAGGCATATGGGTCAACACCAAGAAAAATTATAAAACTGGAGGATGAAAGGGAGGGAGGAGAGATGTAGAAAATATGCCAACTTCATCACTGCTCTTAGTAGAAATTCAAGAAATACTGTGTAAACAGTAGATGAAGTTATATTTATAAAAGTTAACAGCTAGAGAAAGAACACAAACTTTCCAAATATTTTAAACCACACGCACGTGGAAAAAGCAAACACATAAATTTTTAAAAAGCTGAATGTGTGTAACATAAACATGACAGAACCAAGACCAAACATTTCTGTCGTATCAATAAACATCAATGGGATAAACTTATCAAACAGAAAAATGACCCTCAGACTGAAATAAGTACATGGATGTATGTAGGATGTTCATTGCACTGATGTAATGACAAGAGTGTGGAAAATCCTAATGTCCTAAAATGGGACTGATTAAACTGATGCAGTCAAATCCAACAATGATAGTGCCGTGATCTCCAACATGAGAAGTAAAAACACAGAACAGTATGGTGTGTATAGTTTCCTTTGTTTTGTTTTGTTATGTAAAAATACACTTCTTATCTTAATATCTTTTGTCTTGAATCATTTGTGTCAATATGTAAAAAAAATACACATATTAACAAAATATCTCTTGAATGATATCTAAGAAATCGGTAATAACTGTTGCCTTCAAGAAGGGAAATGGATAGTATGAAGACAGAGGAACATGTTTCACTGTATATCTTTTCAATCTTTACAATTTTGTTCTAAATACATATATAAACTGGCTAAACAATTTAAATCACAGTTGTTACCCTTTAAAAAAAAGTTAATAAAAACGCTAATAAAATTTATGTTATCATCTGAGTATTTAAAAATAGAGAACCCATTAGGATGCCTAAACTAACAGGCTTTTATAGACATGCAAAAGTATAATGCAACAAAGGAAAAAACTGATGGTCAACAGAATGAAAACTAGAAGCCAAACAAAACAAGGTTCTACTGGGGGCATGTTGCAACTCAAGTCCACAAAGCGCTTAACAATTTTTCACTGTCATATGCAACAGAAGTTGCTCTTGCAGAGATCTGAAAATCTACTTTATTTATTTTTCTTAAATATTTTTTTTATGTGGACCATTTTTAAAGTCTTTATTGACTTTGTTAGAATATTGTTCCTTTTTTTTTTATGTTTTGGTTTTTCGGCCGCAAGGCACATGGGATCCTAGCACCCTGGCCAGGGATCGAACCTGCACCCCTTGCATTGGAAGGTGAAGTCTTAACCACTGGACTGCCACGGAAGTCCCTGAAAATCTACCTTAATCCTTACTGTTTTCTTCTGGGACTTCTACCAGTAACCTCCTTTGCAGTTACTTAGAAGGCAGCTCTGGAAACCTGGCTCCATAATATCAAATTCACCTCCAATTAGAGAGATTAAGAATACCCAAAATAATACAAATTCCAGGATGGCAAAAACATGGTAATTGAGGAAAATACTATTAATAATACCTAGTAGGTTAGAGGCAATAATTTAAGATCGACACATATTTTAAAAATATGTCAACATTTATTCATGTATAGAATTAGCTAGTAAAATTTTGAAATACTTAAAAGCAAAGATTGTCAGCAGCCTGCCTATTATTTACTAATTTTGTAGATATGATTTGGTTGGCAATGCCCATCAGAAGGCTGAAGGGTTATAAAACTAGTATTAAAAGTTACATTTTTAGTTAATAAAATTATCATCTATTTTCAGTCTGAATTCTTTTAGGTCTGTTTTTTTCTAGCCTGTGGGTTCATATCAGTTTGACTGGTTTCTGAATGATGTTTTGGAAATCAACCTGTTACCAATAAATAAAAATTAGACAATCAGGCAGCACATTATAGTTTTAAAAAGATTATTTCTAATATAGGCAATAAAACTGAAAGAAAAGGGTTTTCAAGCATTTGACTCTAGAAATGAGACCTTTAAAAAGCAATGTGGAAAAATACTAAAGCTGGACTGTGATCTATTTTCAGCCTTCAGCTTAGGCAGCATCTCAATATTTAGGAATCTGATGCTAAACACAAGTTAGGAACAAAGCTGTTGTCCTAACAACTGAAGGAGTATTTAGATATTACTTTGGCTTTATTTCTAAAAACAAGTTAGAGAAGAAAGCAGGGCAAAAACAGAATGGTGAGACAAAGCGTTATTGGTAGATGACACAAACTGATGCCTGCTCCTTGCTTCACAGCTTGGAAGCAATTCTATTTTGAAACCATATAAATCAGCAAAGCTCATCTAAGGTGCCTTTCTTTTGTGAGAAAGTCAAATCATTTGTTCTATTTCTTGTTAAGATTTTGTTTTTCAATATTAATTTTTTTTTGTTTTTCAATATCGATTTTTATTTCTTTGTTCCATTATTCTTTCCCCTTTAAAAGAAAATGGGATATAATTAACATATAATTTTAGTTTCAGGTATATACAAAATGATTCAGTAGTTGTTTACCCTGGAAAATGATCACCACAACAAGTCTAGTTAACATCTGTCACCAAACAGTTTTCTGGTGATGACAACTCTTAAGATCTACTATCTGAGCAATTGGAAAATGTGCAGTACAGTATTATTAACTACAGTCACCATGTTCAGTTATCTTAACTGGAAATTTGTATCTGTTGACTTCCTCACTCATTCCCCACACCCTGCAATAATAATTTTTAAAAGCAACTTCTGGAGATGGATTATCAACAAATCTCTGGATTTTACTATAAAAGCCTCCCAGTATTCTATTATTATAAAAGAAGCAGTAATGCTAAATGATACACAGAATATGAAAAGTGGAAATAATCTTTTTGGGAAGATGGCTGAAAATTAGCTTCCATGTTTAGGAAAGCTTACCTTTGTTTCTTTGAACTGGTAATCCTTAAACTCCTGAACAACCACAAATAAATTATCAACTGATCTCAGACAATGAACCTGGGTAGGGAAAAAGAAAAAATGTTAAGAGACAAATTCTGGGCAAGTTTTGAAGTGTATAAACTATCAACATTTAAATATAAAAATTAGGTACAAAGATTTTAAAGCAGCTAATACCTATAATTTGTATTTAAAAATTTTCCCACTTCCCCATCCTCCCATCTTTTTGGTTACCCATCAGGTTCTATTCCCCTATAGAAAAGGAAAAAAGACAGATGGAAGACTAGAAGCTAGAAGTGTTCTGTGGGCAACATGAGTTAGGGGAGAAGGAAAAGATGGAGCAGTGAAATGGGGTTTTATTCTGCCTTCACAGCTCTCTGGGGTACACTGTATAGGGTCTGATCTCCAGTCGGTGATTATTAGCTAAGCAACCTTGTGCAAATTACCTATTATTAAGCTTAATGATTAATGAGGATAATGATAGTGCCTTTCTTTACAAAGCTGCTGAGGTTATTAACTAAACACTGGATGAAAAATACAGGGTCTACTATATGCCAGACACTAAGAGCTTGGGAAATGCTGACCAAAAAAACCCCCAAACACAGGCAACGATACCTGCCCTCGTGTTGCTTATGTGATAATGAGATAAGCTTAGTGTTTACTCCAGAGGGATGGCAGTTTGCTGACCTTCACTTCTCACCTTCAGTGATTCCTAATTACTTTTGAGCAAGAATAAATTTGACACAGATAAAGCGAAAAATCTCTCCCTTTATGCTTCACCATTGAAGTCTAAATTTCAGCTACATGCCAAAGTAAATAAATTCTAAGAGGAATAGCAGATACTAAGAATTTCTTCCTGAGTCTCACAGGATTTTTTCTGGTGAATTGATCCTCAGGAAATATTAGGGTCAATTCTAAAAGAAAAATAAATAAAGCAAACTTACAAATCAGTACCCAATGTAAAATGCAGTAATACTTTAAAATCACCTGATACAGACTTCCCTGTGGTCTAGTGGCTAAGACTCTACACTCCCAGTGTGGGGGACCTGAGTTCATTCCCGGTCAGGGAACTAGATCCCATATGCTGCAACTAAGAGTTCCCACAACTAAGACCTGCATAGCCAAATAAATAAATAAAATAAAAATAAATAAATAAATAGGGCAGAGCAAAGAAAAGCAATAAAGATTCCAGAGAGGTCTGTAAATTAAGAAAGTAAACATAACATAAAATCATCTATTTAGAAAGCCATTTTAAATATTGCTTCATTCAAACCTGAGCCAGACTGTCCACTGAAATGTCAAAATATATCTTGCCCCGGTCTTTGCTGATTTTGCATGATGACCCCAATTTCTCTCTCACTTCATCTGCAGCTGTTTGCTCAAAACCAGTAGGCACAGTGGCACCAATAGTGACTTGGAGATGCTCAGACTCACTTCTGGGGCCACTTTCAGTCACTTGTATAGACATCTGGTTCTCACAAAGATTCACATCCAGGAGCTGGTTAGTAGCTTCTTGAACATCAGACATATTGGCAGTGCTTCCAAGATCCTGAATGTAGTCCCTTTAAAAGTAGTACAGAAAATAAAAAGAAATAATGCCCAAATACAATCACCTCTTACTTCAACTATAATTAAAAACATCTAATTTGGATGTCTAGCAGAACAATGCAACATAACCAAATCAGTATTCATCAAAGTTATAAGGACTGAATAACATGGGTCAAAGTGGAAGATTTAAAATACAGTATTATTAAACAAGCAACAGATACTATGGAAGAATTGTAGACAGACAAGTCTTTGCACAGCATGCAATGTTTGATTTGAGATCACCCGTCTTGATGATAGTCATCACATAACTACAGAAGTTAAGCTCAAAACAGAAACTGCTAGACCACATTTAGAAATATTTCCGCATTTAATCCTTCTTCTGCTAGTAGTTAAGAACAGGGGGCTTTGGAATTTCAGACCTGGGTTTGAATTCTTGCCCTGGACATTCAAAAGTTGAATGACCTAAAATAAGTTTATTTTCCATTGCCTCTATTTCCCCACCTGCCAAATGGGAAATGAATAATGGCTCTCTCCTAGAGTTATTAAAAGACTTATGCAAGAATGGCATATTACTGCCAGTTCCTACTTGCTAATTAAGGATGTCTATCTTCCTCTTTGAAATGGACAGTGATTCATGCATTTAAAAAAATAATTAACTGAATATCTACTGTCTTGTGATTACAATATTTGAATGCCTAGGGCAGGACAGGCTCTGGGATACATGAATGGGCATCAATAGAGATCTGTGAACTATCTGAAACTAACTGTAAGCGAAATTTCCTTTATCTGAGCATTTGGCACAGTGGGAGGCAGGGTGGACTAGGAAGAACTAGAGAGCTGGGAGGTGGAGATCAAAAGTTCTCGCCAGATTTTCAGTTTCGTGACCCAAAACAACTTAAGCAGACAGAGTTCCTACACTGTCCCGATTCTGTACCCGGGACAGGCGACAGTGCCTAACACAAATAAAAGTCCGTTCCGGCCATTAGTGAAAGTCGCTCAGTCGTTTCCGACTCTTTGCAACCCCATGGACTATAGTCCATGGAACTCTCCAGGCCGGAATACTGGAGTGGGTAGCCGATCCCTTCTCCAGAGGGTCTTCCCAACCCAGGGATCAAAGCCGGGTCTCCCGCATTGCAGGCGGATTCTTTCCCAGCTGAGTCAACAGGGAGGCCTATTGATCCTGCCATTAAGGAGCTCACAATCACTAAATAAGGGAGCGGAAGCCCACGAAAGGACGTTTGCAGCCAAGGTCAGAGTGCCAACCAGTGGCGCAGGCGGGAATGAAACCCACGTCTCCCGACTCCCACCGAAGGGCCCTAATCACAGGAATCCCGGGGAGCACGTGAAGTCCAGGGAGAGGGAATGAGAAGGAATCCGCTCTAGATCGGGCTAAAATGCAGCCCGTGGCCCGTCCGGGTCGGAAGACGAAGGTCACACTACTCTCTGCCGAGGGTCAGAGGCGCCCCACCTGACCACTCCCAGCGTCCGGTTAACCGGCTGTCAGCGTAGACCCTTCCGGCTCCGGGACCCCGCCGGCCTAGCGCGCCCCGGTCACGCTACCGGAAGTCGCCTCGGTGACCCGGAAACGGAAGTCTGGTGGCGCTGCCATAACGGCTCCGAGCAGGGGGCAGGTGCCCGTGAGAGGTCGCTGAGGGAAGAGCATGCGTATAAAGGTCTGTACGCGGTGGCGCCGAATCTCTGGTGGCCCGCCCCTGCGGTTGAGGACTGAGTTCTCAGGAAACTGAACCGATGAGACAATCGTCTCATCGTTGTAACTAATTTTTGAGAGCGCTTAGCGGCACTGTTACTGAGTAAGCGCTTCACACCCGTCATTTGTTCAATAGCTGTCAAGTGGCAGGTGCCATGCTTTTTAAAGCCGGGGGAGCTGAATCTCACAAAGGTTCACTGTCTTGCCTAAAAGCCCGCGCGCAGCTTTTTAGAGGCAGAACTGGGATTTGAACCTGGCTTCTGTGAGGCCAGAAACCTTGCCTTTAGCGTGTGAGCCAGTATTGCTAAAACTAGGCCCTGAGTTGTACTTTGCCTTCATTATTTTTATCCAACTATACTGTTGTTTACTTAACATTTTTCTTTATAAATATATAATTTTTAAATTTCTGTCGGTTTTTTTAAGTGGCTTTCTTTCTTTTTAAAGTTTTTGTCTGCACCTCAGGACTTGTGGGATCTTAGCTCCCTGACCAGGGTTTGTGCCCTGGCCCCTTGCATTAGCAGTGAGGAATCTTAACTGTTAGACCACAAGGGAAGTTCCTAAATATATAGTTTTAACAAGATACTTTAGAAAAAAATTTTTTACAATTCAGCAACAAAAAAATAGTTCACTTTAAAAATGGCAAAAAATCAAATATTTCCGGAGAAGACACACAGATAGTCTATAATCACATGGAAGGATGATCAAGGTCTCTAGTCATTAGGGAAATGCAAATTAAAGCCACAATGAAATACTGATTTGAGTGGCTAAAGTTTTTAAAAAGAGTACAGTTCCACTTTTCAGTAAGGGTGTGAAGTAATGGAACAGTTGGGTGTTGCTGGTGGGAATGCAAAATGGTACAACCACTTTAGAAAACAGTTTGCCCTTTCCTCAAAAAGTTAAGCAGAATTACCATATGGTCCAGCATTTCTAACTGGTATGTGTATTCAAGAAAAGTGAAAACATATTAAAACAAAAACTTGCACATGAATGTGCCAGCAGCTTTGTTTAGAATAACCCCAAAGAGAAAACAACTGGAATACCCATCAGCTGATAAATAGATAAATGTGATATATCCACCCAGTACGTATTATTCAGTCATGAAAAAAGGAATGAAGTACTGAAACATGCTACAGTATGGATGAACCTTGAAAACATGCTAAATGAAAACCAGGAACAAGCCACCCAAAAAAAAAACCTGTCCCCAAAGACCACAAGTTCATTTGTATGATATGTCTATAATAGGCAAATATATGGAGACAGAAAGGTTAGTGGTTGTTTAGGGCTAGGGGAAATGAGGTTAGGAAGTGATAGCTAAAGGGTGTAGGGTTTCTTTGGGGGTGTTGAGAATGTTCTAGAATTAGTGATAGTTGCAAAACACTGACGATACAAAGAGACACTGCATTGTGCAGTTTAAATTGGTGAGTTTTATCTTAAATGAAACTTTCGTCTCATGGGAACCTCATCATGTGCAAAAATGATACTTCTCTCATAAGAGTTCTTAGAAGATTTAAATGAGATTAACATGTTACCAAACAATTAAAATAGATGGTGCCCTTAAATACAGTGGAAACAAAGCAAGGTTATTAAGTTCTGGCCAGATAGTGTTCCCTACAAAAGGCTGTAAATGTTAAGGCCCATTCTCTTTTTAGAAGCGTAAATTATCAAGTGTTAGAGACAAAATTGCACAAAGTGAGACCTTTTTGACTTAATGAGAGGGATTAAATTATTGAAAAGATTCTTTCCTCTTGATTCAGTGTTACTTAATGCATACCTTTAAAAAATCATCTCTCATGAAAGTCACATACATGGGGAAAATTACCCTAAGACAATAGCTACTCATAGTGTTTTGTTAGGTCTGTGGTTTAAACAACAGACTGTTTTGAACATTACATGTCGTGTACTCTCAGGAACTAAGGATACAGCAATGATTTTTTTTTTTTTTTTGAGCTTCTAGTCTATGAAAAAGACAAAAATACATATTACATTCCTATGATGATAAGTATTATGGAGAAAAACTGAACAACATGGGAGATGAAGAGTGCTAGACGGATGGAGGGGAAACCCTATTTAATATCAGGCGATCAGGAAAACCTCTTTGATAAGGTGACAAAGCAGAGCCTGAAGGAAAGCAAGCCATTTGAGTATCTAGGTGAAGAGCATTCCAGGCTGAGGGCAGAAACATGTTCAACAAGGTTTAGGACTATCCAGCCAAGAGGCCAGCCAGCATGGCCAGGGAGGAGGGGATGAAGGAGAAGATGAGATAGGGTGGGTACGTTGTACAGGCCAGTGTTTTACACATTATCATCATGATGTAGATTTTAAGAGAATCACTCTAGCTACTACATGGAGAATGGTTCAGTTCAGTTCAGTCGCCCAGTCATGTCCGACTCTTTGCAATACCATGGACTGCAGCACACCAGGCTTCCCTGTCCATCACCAATTCCTGGAGCTTACTCAAACTCACTGGGTCAGTGATGCCATCCAACCACCTCATCTTCTATCGTCCCCTTCTCCCACCTTCAATCTTTCCCAGCGTCAGGGTCTGTTCAAATGAGTCAGTTCTTTGACTCAGGGGGCCAAAGTATTGGAGTTCCAGCTTCAACATCAGTCCTTCACATGACTTCAGGACTGATTTCCTTTAGGATGGACTGGCTGGATCTCCTTGCAGTCCAAGGACTCTCAAGAGTCTTCTCCAACACCACAGTTCAAAAGCATCAATTCCTCAGTGCTCAGCTTTCTTTATAGTCNATTCTCTTGCTTTTTCAATAAGCCAACGGATTTTGGCAATTTGATTTCTGATTCTTCTGCCTTTTCAAAATCCAGCTTGAACATCTGGAATTTCATGGTTCACGTACTGTCGAAGACTGGGTTGCAGAATTTTGAGCATTATTTTGCTATTGTGTGAGATGAGTGCAATTGTGTGGTAGTTGGAGCATTCTTTGACATTGCCTTTCTTTGGGCATGGAATGGAAACTGACCTTTTCCATTCCTGTGGTCACTGCTGAGTTTTCCAAATTTGCTGGCATATTGAACACAGCACTTTCACAGCATCATCTTTTAGAATTTGAGATAGCTCCACTGGAATTCCATCACCTCCACTAGGTTTGTTCATAGTGATGCTTCCTAAGGCCCAGTTGACTTCACATTCCAGGATGTCTGGCTCTAGATGAGTGATCACAGCATTGTGGTTATCTGAGTCATGAAGATCTTTTTTGTACAGTTATGTGTATTCTTGCCACCTCTTCTTAATATCTTCCGCTTCTGTTAGATCTGTACCATTTCTGTCCTTTTATTGTGCCCATCTTTGCATGAAATGTTCCCTTGGTATCTCTGATTTTCTTGAAGAGATCTCTAGTCTTACTTAGCTTATTGTTTTTATCTATTTTTTTTGCATTGGTCACTGAAGAAGGCTTTCTTATCTCTCCTTGCTATTCTTTGGAACTCTGCATTCAAATGGGTATATCTTTCCTTTTCTCCTTTGCCTTTAGCTTCTTTTCTAGTCACAGCTATTTGTAAGGCCTCCTCAGACAACCATTTTGCCTTTTTGCATTTTTCTTGGGTCTGATCTTGATCACTGTATCCTGTAGTGTCACGAACCTCCATCCATAGTTCTTCACACATTCTGCCAGATTTAATCCCTTGAATCTGTTTGTCACTTCCACTGTATAATTGTAAGGGATTTGATTTATGTCATACTTGAATGGTCTAGTGTTTCCCTACTTCAATTTCAGTCTAAATTTGGCAATAAGGGGTTCTTGATCTGAGCCACAGTCAGCTCCTGGTCTTGTTTTTGCTGATGTATAGAGTTTCTTCATCTTTGACTGCAAAGTATATAATCAGTCTGATTTCTGTATATCTGTATGGAGAATGGTGGAGGGCAGGAATGGAAGCAGTCCTCGGGCCATTTCAGTGGTCTAAGTGAGAGAGAATGATGACTCAAACTAGGATATTAGTGGTGTTAGGGGTGAGTGTGGTGAGAATTAGATTCTGGTGTATTTTGCGGGATGACTTGTCATTGGTTATGAATTGACTGTGGGTTTGAAAACAAGGTAAAAAGCAGGAAGTTTAAGGGTGAGGTTGAGCAGATTTTGCTGATCTGAAGTGCCCATATTCTGCTGGGGGATGAATGCTCAAGAGTTCCGGCTAAAATGCTACAGAGGAGATAAAAATGGACACATTTGCTCTTTAGAGTTCTTACTCCATTTATTGCAAAGAGTAATAGTATTTTAGTTTATATCAGAAAAATGCTGATGAAGTGCCCTGACAACAAATGAATTGCTGTGAAAATACTAAGTGTGTCCTTTCTTGGAAAGTCCAATTAAAAAAAAAAAATATGTGTTTATTTGACTGCTCCAAGTCTTAGTTGTAGCGTGTGGGATCTAGTTCTCCGACCAGGGATTGAACCTCGGCCCCCTGCGTTGGGAACACAGAACCTTAGCCACTGGACCACCAGGGAAGTCCTAAAAATGCCAGTTTTGAATAAATAACATTTACTTGTGGAAGTTGAAACCTCTAATTTCCTTCCAATTGATAGTTGTTTTATAGGAAACTAAAGTGACTCCTAAGTAAATAAGCACATGGTTAAATTTAATGATTCCTATCAGATATAGTGATGCAGATTACAAACTGCGTGGTAGTTGCTCCCATAAACATAGACATCTGTTTTACTCTAATAAATGTCTATCCTTGCCAATTCTTTTTTTTTTTTTAATCCTTGCCAATTCTTAAAGGTAAAACAGTGTCCAGGTTAGAA